GCCGGACGGCCGCTGCCGAGCCCCAGGCTGGTACCTCTGCCACGTGCTCTGGGCCCCCGAAATTATCGATCAGCTCGTCCAGGGTGTTGAGGGGGAGCTCTCTGCCCAGCGCTCTGACTTGGGACAGGAGGTCCTGCTTCATTTTCTCCACCTGTTCCAGCACTCCGGGGCCATGCGCCTCCTTCTGGGGCCCTGGCAGGGGCAAGCTGCCTGCGTGCTGAGGTCCAGCCAGGGCATTGCGGGGGACAGCCGCCGGGGGGGAAGGGTCTGTCTGAATCCCAGGGTATGTCTGTCTACACTTGCACCCTCTTTCGGGAGCGGGATGCAAATGAAGAGATTCGAAATTGCAAATGAAGCTGGGATTTAAATATCCCGCGCTTCATTTGCATAATCGCATTATGGCACTATCTTGAAATACAAAACGCGGGGAGATGCGGTTATTTCAGGAGAAAACCCTTCTTCCAAAATTACCGTTAAACCTCCTAAAACCTCATAAACTGGGGTTTACCAGTTGTTTCCAGGGCTCGACAAATAATGCAGTCTACTTGCCCGGGGCGAATAGATTGCAACCCGGAAGAGCTGGGTTCGGGTGATCTGTGCATGTGAAGATCACCGGACAGCGCGGCTGGTGAACGGGGCTCGCCGCGGTTTGGCGAGCCCTGGTTATATCAGAGAAAGGGTTTTCTCCTGAAATAACCACATCTACCCCGCGTTTTGTATTTCGAGATAGTGCCATAACACGATTATGCAAATTAAGTGCGGGATATTTAAATCCCAGCTTCATTTGCATCCCGCTCTCGACAGAGGGTGCAAGTGTAGACAGACCCCCCCAGTGGGGACTGCTGAGGGTGAGTCCAGAACCGCTCCCCCACACTGCGGAAGGGGAGCCAGCAGGCCAGATCCCTCCGGCAGGCACCTTCCACCACAGCCCCCACTCCCAACTGTGCCCAAAAGCAGGTACTAGACGTCAGTTCGCTGCGAGCACGGGAGCCGGGGCGCCCCGATTTGGGCAGCGCTGGGCAGCCGAGCAAGCCTGAAACAACGGGGAGGGGAGACAGTTTGCAGGAATCCCCTCAGCCTCCCTGAAGAGACGCACGGAATGGCCTGGGGGCTGGTGGGCACGACGCCAGCCAACGCCCACTGAGGAAGTACAGCCACTGCCACAGACAACAGGAGGAGCCCTGAGGAGACACCATGAGCGACAGGGATGTGAATGGTCAACCAGTTAACCAGTCAGCATCACCCTTACTGGTACTGACTAGCTACGGTTAACCAGCGGCCTGCTGGCTTGGAGCAGCCCCCGACCGCCTCCATTTAAGCGGTTGACCAGCCAACGCCCACTGAGGAAGTACAGCCACTGCCACAGACAACAGGAGGAGCCCTGAGGAGACACCATGAGCGACAGGGATGTGAATGGTCAACCAGTTAACCAGTCAGCATCACCCTTACTGGTACTGACTAGCTACGGTTAACCAGCGGCCTGCTGGCTTGGAGCAGCCCCCGACCGCCTCCATTTAAGCGGTTGACCCGACCGATGAAACGGGATTTTGCTGCCCAAGTGACGAGCCGGGCTGAAGGGGAGGCTAAGCCAAGCCGGGGCAGGCCCGTTGGGAACGTTCCCCACACGCACGAGAGCAGGACACGCCCAGACGTTCGTCTCCCGGGCTCGTGGCCCCAGCCGGCGGGCCGGGCTCACCTCTGTCCTCGCACGCGAAGCCGTTGTAGGTGTGCTCCACAAAGATGACGTCGTCGCCGTCGAACAGGGACTCCGGGGAGGAGTTGAAGTCGCTTTCCAGCCCCATGTCCGAATCCGTGCTGCTGTCATCGCTGATCTTGATCACGCCCACCAGGTCGTACAGGCACCTCGGGGCCTTGGCACAGCTGCCTTTCTGCTTCCCTACGCGGGAAGGCGAGGCGCGTCAGCGGGCGGGGCAGCACAGAACACGGAGGAGCGGTCCCCGGGGAGCTGGGTCGGCCCGTTGAAGTCGCTTTCCAGCCCCATGTCCGAATCCGTGCTGCTGTCATCGCTGATCTTGATCACGCCCACCAGGTCGTACAGGCACCTCGGGGCCTTGGCACAGCTGCCTTTCTGCTTCCCTACGCGGGAAGGCGAGGCGCGTCAGCGGGCGGGGCAGCACAGAACACGGAGGAGCGGTCCCCGGGGAGCTGGGTCGGCCCAAGCGAAAGGCAGAGCATAGAGAGGGCAGCCTTTTGGGCCCAGG